TTTGCATTGCCGTCAATGCTTGGTGTTTGTGATGTTTTTCATGCTGAATTTATCTTTCCTCGGGACATAAAACATTGATTAAATGCAACCCAAACAAGTATTTTTCTCTATCTTCGCTTCTGAGCAAGGGAATTTTATTTTTCGTCACGATATACCCGAAGGTCCCAGGAACGCGGAGCCCCGCTCACTGCCTCGAGTTATCCCGTTTTCCCCCCCTATACGAATCATAGTCAACGATAGTACGCTCATATATGAAAAATTACGTAAGTGCACGCTAAGATGAATGTTGAATGTTCTAATCCGCCATTTCCTCCCTACTCCTCCGTATTTTTGTGTACCGACCAGGTGCAGCGAACCGTCAATTAAACTACTAAGCTACAGCTCGAAAACAGCAGTAGCAAAGTACCACTCGGCCGGTATTATATAAGCCTTTGAGGATTTCAAAAGGCGGGAGAAAATTGCTAAAATTTTGTAGAAAGGGGCAGAGTGGTGCCCGCCCGTAGGCATCCCCCGTACTAACTAAACTCTATAAAGCTAACTAAACCCTATAAAGCTAATCCCTCGAGCCCCCGCACGAATGACTAAAAAATTTAGAAAAAGTGTTCGCATATAACACACAACACCGGACCGGAGAAAGCGGCAGGCGAGGGTTTCCAGCGAAAAAAATGCCCAGTAGAGAGCCGAGGAAATGTAGATCACCTCGAGGCCCAGCATATTTAAAAAAATAATTTAATCGGTATTGTGCACGGGTATGCTTACTGCACAAGCGAACAAGGGGACTCGTACGCATTTGGTGTACAGACACCATGGGCTGCCACTGCTTGGCGGGTGTGCACACATTCCGCCGAATAAACAAACACATTATATACGTAAATATATATAATATGGACACATATATAGACCCTATATATAAGAAAACATTAACGATTCCTTTTGGGGAAAAAACAAAGGCCTTACTCTCAGCAAATACTATGGTTACAGCACAACTACAATACATAGAACAACTTTGACATACATATATATATAGAACATATATATATATCTATAGTACATATAGTACGTATATAACGTGCTCCGGTGTATGCATGAATATGAACGGATACACAACCGAATGTCGGTAGCCTGATCGCTGTACAGGCGTCCCCTGTGTAGCAAACACGGGAGATAAATAAAAAATTAAATTGCCAGCGCTTTCTTGGAAAGCGCCACCATCCCCAGCACGGAAGAATGAGACGGAAGCACCTGCTCGTCGAGATGAGCGGAAGAATACACGAAGAAAGCGCAAGAACAGCGACCAACACTGCCACAGATAGTCAATTGCCACTTTAATTCTTTATGCACGAAGATCAATGATGAAGAAGGCCCCAAAAATAGCAATGGTGCCTCCGAGCAACATTCCCGTGCAGACGTCTCGTACATGATGAAAATGCTCCAGCACTCGCGTTGCAGGCACATACAACGCCAACAGCAGCATCAACGCTTGCAAGATTGGCACAAGCGCTTGGGAGAACCAGAACGTCTTCTCAATGAAAGCCCCAAACACACCCTGCTGCGTCCTGAGTCTTTTCTTAGGTGCTGTCTGCTGCTGGTGCCAGCGGAAGCGAGCTTGCAAATACAACACCCCAAACAGCATCCCGCACATAGTGTACGTGCTGTGGCCGGAGGGGAAGGAGCGGCGAGCGTCTTCCACACGATGCGGATCATTCTGACAATGAAAGTCGTCTACATAAATATACTCCCCATGGTCTCCCTTGCACTTCACCTGACTCCAATCGGGTTTGCAAGCATCAAAGAAGTGCGGCCTTAAGGAACCCACGAAGCATTTCAATGAATCCGCAAACAACCAAGCAGTTGCCATTGTGAAACCAAACCCCCCTAAATATGTATAGTAGTCAACAATAAACTGAGGCACTTTCCATCCAAAGAGCGAGACGCCGCTGTCGCTGCCTTGAACATCTTTGTCTTCTGTTGCTCGCACCAGCGCCATCAGCAACTCCACTAGGATAATGATTATGCAAGGTACAACGAAAGACAATACCATCAGCTGCCCCAGGTTAATTGACCCCTTCTTCTTTGGCAACGCTATATCCGTGTTGTTGCAGAACGAACCTCTTACTGTCGCCGTCCCAGTGAGAGAGTTTGCCGCTATGAAGCAGACGGCTAGCAAACTCAGGATATGCATCAGTACGCGAATGGGATAAGAGGGAATGACACGGCCCAAAGAAAAACCCAAAGACCTCTTTAAAGAACCAGGAACACCAGAGGCGTCGACCTGCACCTCACACACCCCTGTCTTTGCTGTGGTTAGTGCTGTTGCTGCGTTTGTCCCCTCCATTTTGGTCTACTTGAGCGTTAAGGAGGAAAAAATCGGGAAAAAGGAAAAGACAGACAAGTGATTGAAACACGTGCAAGAGAAAATGCAGACAAAACTTCACAACAACAATAACAGCCGACAAAAGAGGAGCAGAACCTGTGCTGCTATGCTGTTGGTGTTGCCGGAGGAGGCGTAGCGCTTGCGCCCTCCAATTGAAAAAGACAAGAAAAAAGGAAGGCCCCACACGTCTTGAGGGTATGAATCTTCCTAATCCACGATAAACAACAAGAAGAAGAAGGATTAGAAAGAATTCTTTAGAAAGCACCAGCAGCAAGAGACAGGGAGGAACACAACCGCAGCAGCAAGTCCAATGGCCGCCCACGAGCAGAACAACACCTGAGAGTGGAGATGAGCCAGTGGCGGCTTGCGTTAGGTTTGTTTGGAACCCTAATTGCACCTTAATAAAAGCTTAATTGCATGCAATTGCAGTAAAATCGCGATGTTTTTGTTGTGATGAAGGACCAACAACAATAAAGAGCCTCAGACCACCAGCCCGCACCCGCGCACAGCGGGGGAGCGGCCCGAGCAGCAGCACCAGCTGCTGCTGCTGCAGCTGCTGCTGCTGCAGCACCAGCAGCCCCATGCCGCTGCTGCTGCTGCTACGCAAAAGACAAACATAAGGAGCCGTTTAAAATAAATATCGGTAGATGAAATTACTACAAACAAAAAACACCCCTAATTGAGCGCAGTGCTGCTCTCCCACTCCGGCAGCCTCGCTAAACCCTAAACCTTTAACCCTAAATTCCTAACTCTAAAGAGTAAACCCTCAGAGGCCAACCCCACAAGGCATCCTCTGCTGTGTTCGCACCAAGTCCTCCCCTGTTTTTACCGCCCTTAGAAGCAGCAGCAGAGAGTAAAACGCCAGCAGCAACAGCGGCCGCAACGCCCAGCAGCCGCAGCAGCCGCAGCAGCCGCAGCAGCAGCGGGTGGCGTCCATCCCTTTCGTGCATTAGTTTGTTCCCTGCAGCCCAAAGCACCAGAATCGACAAAGTGCTGTATCTGTGCTTGCATGAGCTGCTGCCTCTAAGCAACACGCTCGCCTAAACAGCTGCAGCAGGGGCCCCGCGGGGGCCCTCGGGGGCCCCTCTCGCCGTCAGCTGCAGGCCGGGAGGCGGGGGAGTTTTCTTTAGTTTTTTGTGCATGCAACGGCCTTCAGCGTGGGCATGCGGCCGCGGCAGCCGCACCGCCAGAGACTTCCTCCACCCCACGCGCCCTGGGTAAACCCGCAGCCGCTGCTGTTGCCGTTAGTGCTGTTGTTGCTGGTGATAGTGCCGGTGTTTTGGTTGTCGCTGTTGGCGCTGCTGCTGCTGCTACTGGTGTTGCTCTTGGTGGTGCTGCTCCTGCCGTTGCCATTACTAGTGCTGCTGCTGCTGTTGCAATTGCTGCTGCTGTTACTGCCGTTGCTATTGGTGCCGCTCTTGCGTTCGCCGGTGTTATTGCTGCCCTTGGTGTGGCTATTAGTGCTGCATCTGCTGCTGTTATTGCTGCCACAGCTCCTGTTGTTTTTGTTGCTGCTTGGACCCGCGTGGCCGTTGTTGACGCGGCCTTTGCCTGGCTTTGCTGCTGCTGAAGCAGTCCGACCTTCGCCTTTGGAGCTGTTGGTGCTGCTGTTTATCTTTCTGCTGTTGCTGTTTATGCCTTTGCTGCTGTTGGTGCAGCCTTCTGGCCCACGTGATGGCAGCGGCGTCTCGGAGCCTCACCCGCCTATACCTCCAGACAGGGGTGGGCCCAGGGGCCCCCTAGAGGGGCCCCCTTACGATTACTATGCGGGCCGGCGTGGGGGCCCCATGGGACCCCTCCCCATGTACCCTTTGCGCCGGTGCAGCGACAGCCCGGGGCCCCCCTTGCTGCGTATCCCGTACTATGCAAGGGGGGAGGAGAGGGAAGGGGCCCTTGGGGCCCCCCCTACGCGTCTGCTGCAGCGACGAATGCCGCCAGACGAGCTGCAGCAGCTGCATGCGCAGCAGCAGCAGCAATACTACGAGGAGATGCGGAGGCGGCCTCCGTCTTCTGCGTGGCGAAGTCGGCGCAGGAGCTGCAGCAGCAGAGGCAGCAGCAGCGGCTGCGAGTCCGATAGAGAGGGGCCCTCCGGGGGCCTTGTAAACAGGAGGGGATCTGCATTGGAGAGAGAACGAAAAATGTGTGTTCGTTATCTTGAACACTCAAGCAGACAATTCCTTTTTTGTTCGTTGTTTTTCGTGGCTGCTGCTGCAGTTGCAATGAGCTGCGTGCCGCTTGCTGCTGATTTTGCTGCTGCTGTCCCCAACTGGCTGTTGTTGCCGCTGCTGTTGCTGCTGCAGGAGCCGGAGCCGCAGCGTAAGTACTATTAGCGTCAATGAGGCATCGGACGCCTCCTGCAACGAAGGATCCAGTTCGTATGAGCAACAGCAGCGCCAGCGGCGGTCGTGGCAGGAACGCGCTGCTGGAGCAGCAGCAGCCGCCAGCAGCAGAAGCAGCAGGCCTGTGGATGGCTCTTTTCGGAGGTCCTTCTCGAGAGGAAGTGGGGTCTCCGCTGTCTCCTCCCGCCGATCTCGATCCCGATCCCGATCTCGATCTCGATCTCGATCCCGTCGGCACTGGCAGCAGCAGCGGGGAATGGTGATGCTCATGCACCCTCCAGGCCCCCACGGGAGCAGCAGGTGGCATGCGGAGCAGCAGCAGCAGATGATGATGCTGCAACGACAACGGCAGCACGCGTGGGAAAAGCAGCAGCAGCAGCAGATGATGATGATGATGCAGCGGCACACGAGCAAACGCAGCAGGAGCTGCAGCAGCTCAGGCCGCTCTGTCTCCTGTAGCAGCAGCAGCAGCAACGGGAGACGGCGGCGGCAGCAGCAGCAGCAACAACGGAGGCAGCGCGAGGTGTCTCCTGAAAGGCGGCGGCATTTGCTCTCCAAGCACCTCCCCAGGCAGCAGCACCCTCCAACAGCAGGAGCCGCAGCGGCAGCTGCCCCCAGTCTCAGAAGGAGCAAGGCACTCAATGGAGACGTGGCGCGTTCATCTGATAACCAAACCGACCAGGTTACCTATGCAGCTAGCAGCAGCAGCACAGATAGCCACAGAAGCAGCAGCAGTAGTAGTAGTAATAGTAGCAGCAGGCCGGGTGGGGCTGCTGGTGCTACAGTGCCAAAGAGGTCCGAGGTACAGTTAGGGGGATACCAAACTGCAGATCCAGAAGCAGAGGCGGCAGACAGCAGCAGCAAACGCAGTAGCAGCAGCAGTAGCAGCAGCAAGCCTCATCCGCTGCCCTGCAGCAGCAGCAGCCCGAGTGGCGAAGACAAACATCACGGCAGACCGCCAGGCAAAGCCGAGGGTTTTGGCAGCAGCAGCGCGCAAAAGCTCAGCAGCAGTAGCAGCTGCAGCAGCAGCAGCAACGGCGTGAGGGATCCGAACAAGGAGGCCAGCGCAGCAGGAGATAGCAGCAGCAAACACTTCGCTGACACTCCGGACGGAAGGCGGACTACTGAAGCGCAGCATCCCACTGCTGCTTTCCAAGACCGAACAGACCGGAGCAGCAGCAGCAGCAGCGGCGGCAACGGCAGCAAACGACCGCGCGAGGATGATGCCGTAGGAGAGAGTAGTGGCAGCTGTAGTAACACCAGCAGCGGTAGTAGCACAAGCAGAGAAGCAGATCGGCTGCCTGCAGCACCAGCAGCTGCTGCTCCAGCGGAATCCCGGAACGGAAGAGCGGCAATAGATGACGACATGCCCGTAAACTCCAAGGGGGAGGCGATCAGCAACAGCAGCACCAGCAGCTGCAGCACAGCAAACAAGGAAGACAAGATGCGGTGGAGGCAGCAACGATTTAATGAATTCAAAGCAGCCCTCAGTAGCAAAGCAAGCAGCCCAGTAGCAGCATGTGCAGCAGTGTCGTCTCCTGCTGCTACTGCGGCTGCTTCGGGGGTGCATCAACAGGAAAGCCAGGGAGCGCCTCGTCCGGAGGTAGGCGCTGCTGCACCTGGTACTGCTGCTCCTACGGGCGCGAAGCAACATTGTCCCCACAGCAGCAGCAGCAACAGCAGCATAAGTCGGGCCCCTGCAACATGCAGCAGCAGAGTGCCGAGTCGCATTGAGTCCGAGGTTTCTGCGGCAGCAGCAGCAGCAGCAGCAGCAGCTGCTGCTGCTGCTGCTGCTGCCGGCTTGGAAGCGGTGCACGGTACAGAGGTTTCTGCGGCAGCAGCAGCAGCAGCAGCGAAAGCAACAGCAGTGGCAGAAGCAGCAAAACCAACACCTGCGCCGCCTAAGCCGTCGAGCAGCAGGTGGGACAAATGCCCCGACGGGAAGGTAAACGGTGCCCTGTCTTCTGTTGCTGCAGCTGGGAAGCCAGCAGCAGCCGTAGCAGCTGCAGCAGCAGCGTCCCGAAGCAGTGTGAGAGCTGAGCAGCGGAAACAACAGAAGCAGCAGCAAGAGGATTCTGATGAGGAGTACACCGTAGCACTTTCTGGCTGCATTCCTCGGCCCTTGCCTTCACGTCTTCCTCCTCCTCTCGGATGTTCCTATGAAAACCACAAACGCTTCTTGTCTCTCATCAGAAGGTATGCTACTGCTGTTGTTGCTTTTGCTGCTGGTGTTGCTCTTTCTTGCTGTTCCTCGTGTTGCTGCTGCTTGGCCTGGCCTGGGAAGGAAGGAGGGCCGGGAGCGAGTTGTTGCTGCTGTGGCTGCCGCAACCTGGTTCTGGTGCCGCCCATATTTGCTGCTGCTGTTGTTGCTGTTGGCGTTCGCTGCAGCCGACGGACCCTCGGACAGCAGTGGCGCACTTCCGTGCTGGAGCTGCAGCAGCAGCAAACGGAGCACTTGCTGCAGCGCATTGATGTCCGTACCCGTTGCTGATGCTGCTGTTGCGGATGCTGCTGATGATGATGCAGCCGTTGATGCTGATGCGGAAGCTGCCCATGATCGTGCTGCCGATGATGAGGGTGTTGCTGCTGCACATGTTTATGCTGCCGCACGTGCTCGTGCTGTTGCTGCTGGAGCGTATGTTTTCTTGTTCGCTGCTGCATACTGTGCTTGCTGCAGCATGCTGCTGCTGCGTTGGCGGAGCTCGAGGTGCTGCGGCAGTTGCTCTCATCAAAACAATCTACAGGCGGTACGGACCTGTTGCTGATGCTGCTGCTCCTGCCGCTGGCCCTGCTGCCGCTGGTTGACGTAGTTTTTTCTTCTGATGATGGTGCTTGCATGTTGCAGGTGGAGGGGCGCCAGCCGCGGACGACGGTGTTCGTGGTGAAGCAGCAGGGGCAGCAGCAGCAGCGGCAGCAATTTCATAGCGCCTCTTCTGCTGCAGCGAGCAGCAGCGGTTGCTGCTCAGCTACAGCATTTTTATTTTGTTGCTGCAGTTCCCCCTTTTTTGCTGCGGCGATCGACTTGCCGGCATCATCTACCAGCAGCAACAGACTGCCATCACGAGCAGCAGCAAACCAACAGCAGGGAGTTACTTTCCTTTTTGCGGCTGCCATTGAGCAGCTCTGCAGCAGCAGCAGCAGCAGGGGGTGCTTCTGCTGCTCTGCATCTGCGGCGGCCCCCTTGTTGATTTGGCGAGCCCAAGCAGCGCCAGGCTAACCTTGTGGTGTGCAGACAGCCTGGCGATCGCAGCAGCAGCAGCAGCAACAGCAGCAGCGTGTTGCTAGTGTGCTTAAGTTTGGAGGCCGCTGCTGCTGCGACTCCGTGAACCTGATATTGTTTATTTCGGGGAATTATTTGCCCATTGTTTGCTTTTTTGACACGCATTTCTTCATTCCCTGGTGTACAGGCAGCTTTTGTCGTCCACAGGCAACTATTCAGGTATATACGCAGCTTCTTAGGTGTACGCACAGCAGGCCCAGCACAGCGAGATGGCTGGCCCTCATCTCCAGACACACTGCAGCGTAGGTGCTGCTGTTGCTGCTGTCTTTGTGCGGCGGCTGTTGCTGCCGTTGCATCAGGGGTAAGATCGGTTTGCATGTATTGGGGTGCCGGGGCGGAGGATTCGGTGCTACTGCTGCGTCTCGCTGCTGGCGCGCAGTTTTTGGCGCTCGGGTTCAGGGTCTATCTGGTTTGGGTTGCATTTGTCTGTACGCACAACATGGAGGGGGCCCATGACGCACTACAGCGTATTCTGCGCAAGTGCCTATGCAGCATAGGTCCAGCCAATGCAGGACAGCGGCAGCCTAGGGTACATAAGAATGGCATGTACAGCACAACAGCCTGTACAGTATAGGAGCAGCCAATACAGCACAACAGCAGCGTGTACAGCACACAGGCAGAAGGCCTTCTAAATGAGCCGTTCTTCTGGCCCACGGGGGCAAGGGGTTTGGTAGGGATTTTGTGCATTGCCTCCTTCTCGTGAGTTTAGATTAAGTTGTAGTTTGTGCAATATAGATTATTAATGCTGTTTTTTCTAAATTATATAGGCGCATGTTGTTCAGATATTGAATCTTGCCCAGCTAGTCAACGCATTTTTCAAGTAATTAAATGCAGTTTTTAGGTAATTAATTCGTCTTTATGCAATTGATGCATGAAGAAATTATCAACGAATTTGATATAATTAAACGTGCTTTGCAGACAATCAAACACTTTAAACAGCTCACAGCCCCGACGCCGACTCTACCGTGACGGCCGACACATTGTGTCCCTCTCCTCAGGTTCTGGTGTTTGTCTCGCCTCTGCATATTATTTGGTTTGTACTTCATTGTTCAACTGATTCAACAACTGAAAATGTGGGATTTTTTCCTCTTCTCTCGCTAAAGGCTACAAATGTCCTGGGGCCGGGCACTCAGGCCCACCGGGGCCCCCCAACGAAATCGCCTGTGCTTTTTTATGCTGTATTTGGTTATCAGCAGTTTATTATGTAATGGAGAGAATGGTGTTAAGGCTCTCCAGCTCTTGTCGCGCACCAAGACGTGTGCATACCTCCCAGCTGCGGTTTCAGCCGCCGGCGCCTCTTCTTGTGGGTTCATAATTCATTCTCTTACTCCCGCCCGCTCTTCTCTTCGCACGAGCACTTGCTACGCCTCTTCAACTGCTGTGGGATTTCCGCAATCTGCTGCTGCTCCCGCTGCCGCTGCTCCTGCTGCTGCTCCTGGGTCAGGCGGCGGCCTAGGTGAATCAGCAGCAACACTTCGCCTGCCACCCTCTGGCGCCGCCTGCTCGCCAGCATCATCGACACCAGCAGCAACAGCAGCAGCAACACCAACATCAGGAGCACCAGCAGCAGCGCCAGCAGCTGCAGGAACAGCACCAGCAGCGGACGACGAGTGGGTAGCTGTTGTACAAATCGTGCACGCTCCCCGTCATTTTGTCGTCGCTGTCTTAGTTCAAGAGGCCCTCCAATGTTTGCTGTGGGGCAGCGACAGCGACGTGCAGGTGACTTACGAACTGTCTACCTCGGAACAGTTGCAGCAGCAGCAGCAGCAGCAACTGCTTCCAGAGCAACAGCAGGCGATAGCAGAAGGAGCAGTGGAGGTTCGGGTCTTTTTTGAAAACCGCAGCGGAGCTGCTTTGTTCAGCAGCAGCAGCAGCAATGGCAACCGCAGCGCCTTCAACAGCTCCAGAGGGAGGATAGATGAACGAGGACGAGTGTTGGTTTGGTCTTTGCTTGGAGTTGCTGCTGCAGCAGACCTGATTGTTCCTGCTGCTGCTCGTCTCCCGGATGGCGCTGCTGCGATCCGTTCAGCAGCAGCAGCGCTGGAGCAGCAGCAGCAGCAGCAGCTACAGCAGCAGGAGCTGCTGCTACAGCGGTGTCGCGCTGCCTTGCCGATGCGCCAGGGGGCCCTTTGGTCTTTTCTGCTTTGTGCTGAAGTTGCTGCTAAGCTGCGGCACAAAGCTGGAGAGGACGTCCTTCCCCTTGCAGTGCAGGGAGTTCAGGTGTGCATACACCTCAGCCGCTTGCTACGCTGTTGCTGCCACCGCTTCTGTCTTTGTCTCTCTGAATCTGTTTGCCTGCGGATGTGTGCATATCGTTGTCTGTGTCTTGGTGTTCATCTTTGCGTCTTTCGTTTGTGTCTCTTTCGCTGTCTTTTGTGTGTCTTCATATTCCTGTCATTCAGCTGCCCATGCTTTTGGTCCTGCTGCTGCTCTGCACCTTGGTGCTCCGCGCCTGCTGCAATGCTGCTGTTGCTTTTGCTGCTGCTTTTGTTGCTGCTTTTGCTGCTCTTGCAGTCCGCGCCTTTGCTGCCATTCTCCTGGTGCACGCTGGGCCATTCTCTGCGTCTAAGAGGCCGCCTCTGGGAGAGCAGCAGCTGTTACAGGGTAGCAGCGAGTCTGTGTGCTGCTGCTGCTCCTGTTGCTACTGCTTCAGTTGATCCTCCTGCTCCTGCTACCCCGCGGGTCGTCCTGGCTGCTGCCCCTCGCGCTGCACTTGCTGCGGCTGCTGCTTCTGCTGCTACAGTCCCTGGGAAGCTGATTGCAGCTCTAGACGAAACCCTCCTTAGGGCTCGGAGGGACCCAAAGGAACTCAGGAGAGCTCTGCCTACGTTGATGTACGCACGATCTTGCTGCGGCTGCCGCTGCTGCTGTTCCTCGTGCTGGCCTTGCCACCTCTCCGTGGAGTGGCTGGTGGTGCTGCTGCAGGAGCTGCAGCTGAGCTGGATTTGCCGCTGCTGCTGCTGCTCGTTGTGTGTGCTGCAGCAAAGCGGAAGTGGAGGCCCCCTGGGGCTTCGCAGTTGACGCGAATCCGCCTGAAGTTGGGGGCCTCTTTGTTGCATATGTTGTAGAGAACAGCAAAGCAGAGAAAGCAGGACTGATGCCTGGTGAGGCGTCGCACCGCTCAGGAGGCGCAGAAAGAAGCAGCAGGCACGAACATGGGCACAGACACCAACGCCTTACCAGAACATCAGCAGCAGCAATAGAGACAGCGATAGCAACGGCGACAGCAATACCAACGGCAGCCTCAGCAGCAAAAGCCAGCTGCAGCAGCTAAACCTTTGCACCCTGCAGTTGCAGACGCCCCGGATAGACAAATCTGTGCCTCCAGCGTGGCATTGCTGCGACACAGAGGCTGCAGCAGCAGCAACAGCAGCATCAGCAGCAGCTGCTGCTGCTGCTTCCCAGAAGTTACATGAGACTCTCCCTCTGTGTGTTTGTACGTGTGGCAGGGGACCAAATTGTGATAGCCAACAACTCCATAGTGTTGGGTCTGCCTGTCGAGCGGTGCCTGGCTTCGCTGCGGGCTCGCCAGCGGCCCGGTTTGCTGCAGCAGCAGGAGCGCCAGCAGCTGCTGCCTCTGCAGCTGGAGGTGTACAGGGGTTCATTCCCTGTGCTTTATGGGGCCCCTGCTCTTGCTGCTCTTCAGCGGCTGGGTGCTGTGAAGGAGCTACTGAGCAGCAACAGCAGCGCGGAGCAGCAGTACAGGCAGCAGCAGCAAACCCCGCCTGTCCACACGCCGGCGGGAAGCCTCAACTCGTTGCTGCAGGGGGCGGACACGAGACACAGCGAATTCTTTTAGGAGGCAGTGAAGGCCCTCAGCAGCTCGTTTGACGTGAATCCTTTCATTTGCTGCTGCTGAAGCTCTGCTGCGCCTCGAGAGGACGCACCCACACAGTTGCAGGGTTTCATATTTTAACAAGCATCGTTGTTTGCATTTGTTTATTTATGTGGTACGTAAATATACGAATGAGTAGTTATTCATGTGCTCACACGCACACTGAATCGCGGAGTAGGGGCCGATCTTCCGTATCTGCGATACCAATTTGCTCTGAGTCTGTCGGTGTGTACAGGAAACGCACGACCCCACCACCGAAAACCTGTTACTGTGCTCAAAGTCTTTGCAGGAGGATCGTCTTTTGTAGAGGCCCCACGCCGCATCCCTGCTTGAGCAATGGACCGCTGGACGAGTGGACCCCTGCTTCCGGTTTGCATTCAGCTCAGTAGCTGACAGCAGCGCCGCAGTCTGCCAATGAGCGCTCGCAGCCTCTGTGGATGCGGCTTTCACCCCTTCCAGCTAATATTCCTTTTCCTCTACATGAATTCTGGTTTGTTTTTCGTCCATATGCGCAGCATGAGCCCTTGAAGGCAGCATTTTGAGGAGTCTTGTGGCTCAACGCGCCAGGTCTGTTCTGTCTCCTCCTTACTAGACTGTCACCTGTTCTGCACTTAGATTAGTAAGGCCGTTCTGAACAAGGTGTCTGAAGAAGCTCCAACCCTCACTTAGTCCTTTTTTGTATTATTTCGCGCTCTTCGCTCCTTATACAGCAGCCAAGCCCTCTGCACAGAAGTATAGCCCTCCCACTTTCTCCACCCCAGAGATGCCTCCGCCTCGAGTGGGCGTTCTTACATAACTGTGGAGATGTATGGGCATTTGCATGCGTCTGGGGCATTGCTGCTGCTGCAGAGCTCCAGTATAATGATCATGAATCGGCATCTGGGTGTCCATGTACTAGCTCGTGTCCGTGTTCTTTGTAGGTGCCTACATGCAGGCAGGCAGTTATGGAGTCTCGTCCCTTGCTATTCCTGCATGTTGCTACTGGTATTTGCCGCTAGATTCATTCACGCTGCTATCCACCTCCATGAGCTTCGCAGCATATCTTCCCTCTCCTGTGTATATGCAACTCGTCGAGCTGTTCTGTGTCTCACTTGGCATATGCGTGCATCTGTCTATCAGCATGTAGCAGTCCCGATTGTTTCTCCCCAGTTTGAGCAGCATTTTCTCGCAGCCACTGCCTTTCTCCAACCTGAGCTGCAGCCTTAAGACGTAAATATAAGAGCAGCACCAGGGTTAAAAGCAGAACATTCCCCTTCACTTTGTGCAATAAATGTAGTTCAGACGCTTTGGAAGAGAGGTTGCTTAATTGACGCACGCACATCTGCGCTGGTGCGTGAAGGAAGGAGCAGGGAGGCGGTAACGCTTCCGTTTGCGTTGCAAACAGTACAAGCAGAAAAAAGCAAAAAACAGCACTACTCCTACCTCAAGCATGCCAGCATAATTAGATTTAAGCAACTTATATCAGCACTGGGAAACAAACCAAACTACCAACCTACGCTTGCACATAATTGAACAAGTGGGAATACCCCAAAGAGAAGAAGGCTTCAAGATAAGCAGGCAGCCGAATGTGTGGTACAATGCCAGGCGAAGCCACATAGTTTCTGTCCGAAGGTCGCGGGTTCGACCCCCCCACATCCTTCTGCGGACTATCTCTTCGCCATATTCATTTTTGACGCGCTAGTTTAGAATTAGTCCGCATTACAATTGTGTAAAATTCACAACCTGACCTAGTAAGATTTCGCCGCTGCGGGTATGCTGTCGCTGTTTATTAGCGCACCGAAAGGGGGCAACAGAGGCGCTAAACGAGCGCAATTGCCGTTTATAGCCCTAGGTTGGAGATGCATCAGCATATATGTTTGCTGTCAATTGTTCAAAAAGAAGTTATTCTGCTGTTACGGCGTCACATGCCAAGCATGAGCAGAGGCGAGGGAGGACGCACAAGGTACAGCGTGTGCTTTTGTTCATCCTGCGTGACAAGAGCCGGCAGTCGTTAGCGTGCCCAACTTACAAGCAGGCCTCTCCGCTCTACTTATATCTGAATTTTCATTCCCACCGCTCAATCGGCAACCCACCTCCCCCCGTAACCGTCCCGGTCTCCTTGGCTCCTCCCGAGCGGCTGAAGCCCGCGCATTCAACACCGGAATACAAGGGAGATGTGCATGTGTCAATGCCAATGGATGTCCAACGAGACCCACTGTTCGTGAAAGCCGCCCCCCTGCTCCCCTACGGACGGACGAAGTCCAGGCCTGCAGAGCCCCACATGGCTGCACATGCAGAGGAACTCTCTGTCTTTAATAAGCTTCATCTTAGTAGCAAGACTGACGGCACGTCAACGAACCACTTTGCAGAGAAAGTCGTTCGGCAGAAGCCGCCACTGCCTCCCCCCTCCGGCATATTCAACTCGGGGCCAGTTGACAGTCTGCTAAGGGGTATTTGCTTGTTCCGAAAATCAAGAATACATTTCTTCTATGAAGGGGGGTTCTGATGGCACTTTATTGAGCATTCTGCTCGTGAGATGGGGCCCCCCAAAGTCGACTTGTCCGTCAGATTCCCCGCCCTACCTCCCTCATGTTTGCTCGGCTTCTGGGCCTTTTTGTCTGAAATACCAGCGAACACTATTGGATTAATGAAGTAAAGCCTCTACACTACCACCAGCAGTGCCACTGCATGCGCAGAGGCCGTTGTCCTGCCTTCGGTGCTAACCGCCAGCTATCTTTATGAACGCCCTAACTCATCGAAAGTTTGGCCGCTATTGGGGATGTTAAGTTGAATTTAACGGGATAGAATGAAGTATATTCAGTGTAGGTACAACAGAAGAATATGAAGAGCAGGTTCCTGTCATGCGCAACGGAATTGGAGCAGCAGCGAGAACGCAGAAGGCTGCAACGAGTGGACCGCTGGGCTGCCTGCAGTGGTCGGCGAGTCTATTAGCGCACCACTCCTTGTTTATTTGTGATCATATGTAAGATCTCAGCTTTTTGTTCCCCTTCTTCTCGAAACTCTTTGCACCAACTCCCTTCCCCCTTTTTTCATGCATGACTGGAAGTTATCGGCTCATTGTTCCCCACTCATTCTGCAACAGTTTGATGTAGAGGAGAGCGTGCATAATCCATTAGTAGCCCCACACCAAACCACGGGTGCTCTCGCAGCTCTTTCAGTATGCACACAGAGTACTCGGTCTCCCTATCCAGCACCGGCCCTTGAGTGAGAACCTGCCGAACACTAACATAAAATAGGGCTAGAAACACACTAAAAAAGCCAGCCAGAACGCAGCACTTAAGATAGTCAACTGGCTCAAAGAGTCACTGAAATGAAGAGCCTTCGCGCTGAGCGAGTGGTTGCCGCGGCATGCACGAGGGGTACACTGCGACGAGACGCTTGCAGTGCAAACTCGAACTATTGCAGCGACAGAAGGTTTAAAGCTAATATTCACCTCCAGTAGACGTCGCATCCGATTATAAGCTTCTTAGAGTTAGAGGTAGCGGGAGTACTCACGTGGTCCGATACATTTATTGTGGGCGTGAAGTATACGTAACGGGCTACTTGCTCTCGGTTTCTTCTTGTCCACCTTGCACGCAGCATCGACAGGCTGTTTTTCTGCCTACTTGCGTCTCGTGCGTTAAAGAATGCAATGCTTGGACTGCAGCCCTGATGTGGACACTTACAGAAATACGGTTGTTCATGCACGGAGTCGCAAGGGAGGGCTGAAATGCCGCACACTTCCTGCACAAGCATTTCAAGCTCTCTTCAAAGGAAGGACGGTAGCTTTAAATTCAGCTCGCTTTGTGATGCACGCTGGCTGCCATCCCCTCTCGATTTTGCCCATGTTTGACAGTGTAACGAGCAAGCTAAACGGCACTTTCATTGCTTGGGCACATTGTCAGTACGCGCAATGGAGAGGCCGCCGAAACACCATACTGATCTGCTCCACCCGCGGCCACCCCCAGCACGAATCCTTCGCTGGTACAAGATTCGCAACTTACAGGGGACCACCACCAGTCATATCCCCACACATTCGCAAGACGCTTTTATTCACCAGGGATGAGATCCTCAGTTTCGAACCCAGAATGCTTGTTCTTCGCAGGAATGCGGGGCGTATGGCTCCTGGTTACTGTCATCAGTACAGCTGAAAGCGCCGCCGATGTAGTGGTGAGGCAACGCGAGTTTCTTCTGCCTCAAACTAGAAACATTTTATACGGCAGTATTTTGAGACACTTAAGATACCGCAAAAGGTGGCTTATATCTCCTGTTTTCCCTAGGCACTATGAACACAATGGTGCAGGGTCCTGGGGCCGGCGGGGAGTGGAAAGCTTCAGTCTGGAATTGTAGAGCCCTCCCCCGCAACCCCAACAAACAAAGGCAAAACCACAGGCAAGCTGCCCCCAGCCCCTTTCCGATGAAGGCATTTCGCGTTGCTCTCAATTGCTGAACACCACCTTGCCTTCCAGTGTCCAACATGCACACAAGCATGGACTCACGCATTTTTTTCAGAGATGCCCTGCAGTATCTGCCTCCATCGCCAAATGGCAGATATCCTTATGTGCTTAAGCAGAAAAGCAGGTACGCATGTCGGCGAAGAAGCCACGGATGGTATGGCTGCCATTATATGACAAAAACGCAGGGAACTAACTCAGGAATGGTGCCGATTTTTGCTGCTGCTGTTGCTACCGTTTGCATGCGTCTAAATCAAGCCTGCAAAGTGGCTCGGGCCACTAATCCGGTGAGGGTAACTCTGCAGCATGCGAGGATTGGGACTCGCCCGCGCTACTGGCAACCCAACTATACAGAAGTCCAAGTTGGGCAGGCGCTGACGCGCGGGCTCCTAGCGCCCGTGTTGGGTGCTTCGCCGAGCTATCCGCAGGTAGACAGGGCTGCGGACCACTGGAGGTGAATAATTAGTGCTGAGATGGGTGCGAATATCAATGGATACACTCGTTCTTACCCTCCACGAAACGACTGCGCACGCAGGTTATGGGCAGCGTGGAACTGAGCTGCGCCAATCATGCTCCCGTCTGCGGACACCGCAGCTGAATCATGACAGCCTCTCATGAGCTCCTCAGGAACTGCTGTGTGCCAATGATCCTCAAAAATACCACTAGGTTTGCCGGCATCCTGACAACAATGTAATATTCACCGTTTGTGGAGCCGCTGTGTTGTTTTACATGCGCCCACGAACCCAAGGTCCCCCAGCTCAGCATACATTACCAATTTCTTGAAGGGTGTAAGAGAAGACGAGGTTAATAGTACGATGGCATTTCCACGTATGGGATAAATCTATCATACAGGTCAACTTGTAAACCCAAAACAAACAGCATAATCCCACGTCTAGCCCGCGAAGGAAACAGTGAGCCGTCCACACTGCTGCGCCGCATTGCAGATCGTGCGGATCCACGAGGAAGGCACTTCAGTTGCAAGCAGCCAATGAACTTATTTTGATGTAGTTTATCGCAGTGTGTGTCTGTGATTTCTTCTTTGCAGTCCCAAGTGGCTGCAAGCTGTGTCTAAAAGGCTTCCACTTCGAAAGAAGACAGCTGGCTGCAACGAGCCAGCTGTAACGTCGCCTCAACCGACAGTACCTCTGCGAATAATGAAGCAGCCTGGGAACTTCGGTGTAAGAAATGTATTGCTGCGTTATAAACCTATTCCATACAAGAAAGATACTCAAAAAAACAGTGTGCTGAATTCCGGTGGTATGAGGCGGGATTGCGCATACTTATTGTGCATCCCCTTTGAGCGTCAGCCAGTTGGTGGTTCACGATTGCCATGTTTGGTCAATCTTCTGCCTCATAGCGAAGGCGCTAACGAGCTTCCGATCCCTGTCAGTAATGAAACTTACGCAAAATAAGTGGAACTCCCACACACGTTCAATGAATAACTGAGCTTCTCGCCTCCCCGGCATCTGCAATTCCCGTTGCTAAGCCTACCCACCAAAAATAATGGTTTCTGCGCTCTCTGACCGGTGACCGACCCACTAGAGAGTTCGTTTAGATATCCGTTTAAATTTGTACAGGGACCGAAAGGCTATGCATCATGTCGGCCTTGAGAGTGTATCGCGAATTTAACTGCAAATGTTCTGGACAGGTGGAGCATTTTCTTCGGACGAGAAGCCCATCCTTGGCCACTGAAGGGACATCACCGCCAGATCTACCGGCCTGTTGACACCCAGGTCTTCCAAGGGATTGTACACCATGATCTAAATGGCCGTAAGAAGTAATGCCAGGACGCATGATCAGTGTACTGCACACTTAGTCTATTATCAGGAAAGGATGCCTTCTGTGCTGTAGAGCTTAGTCCATCGTCTGTTGTTGAATTTGGCAAGGGTCACAGGAGAGTGAGTAACTAAAGGATTAGGCGAGCGCTCCTTGAAGAAGAAACGGGATGCTGACTGCGCTCTCAGGGTTTACAGCGCTTTCAGGCGGACAAATAAACAGGTGCATTACTCCTCCAGCCGATACAGGTTTCCGACAAATACGGACCGCACAAACAGGTGCCTAGCCCCGGTTATTAAACTTTTTCTAATGGGGAGAAATGGGCGACACATTTGAGAAGGCATTTGGAGAGACATCACACAGAAGCAAACACTGTTACTTGCAACTTCCCAGAAAGATGCCCAATTCACTCACAAATGACGCCAGAGGCCTTACGAAGGCTGTGGCCTGCCCTCCTACAAGATGCCTTGTTAGTCGTATAGGGGTGGGCCGAGCTACAGACAATTACTCGCTTAAAGTAATGCCTCCAGTCGCTGAGCTTCTGCTTGCGGAAGGTTGGATCAGGATAGCAAACGGGGGACTTTACATCGGGTTTGAAACCGACGTTTCCGATCAGCGCGTTCCACGGATAATTCGAAAGGCCAAGGACAGCTTGGGAAAGTTGTGGTCTTTGGCATTTAGGGCGTAGGATATACGGGAACAACGAATAAAAGGCGCGCTCTACGGTGGTCAGTTGTAGACTGCCCTTGGCATGTCTACTGCAGCATCGATCATTGTTTACGACACTGCCTCACAAGAGGGCATTCCCTCTGTGGGACTTGCTTGGAGGGTTAGTAGGAAATGCCGTAGCTCTTTGCTTATGTGCATCATTGCCCACGGAAATGCCAAGCCACCAACATCCAATGAAGAAAAGTTTGTCATCAGCTCGTATTGTATAGTTAATTGGCCGTTGAGCCATGGAAACTTCAACCAGGTGAAGAGCACCACCTGGTTGAAGTTAAAGGTATTCGTAAAGCCTCGGGCGTCCTAAATGAGAACTTCTTTTGCTAAACTTAGAGTAACCAAACTCCATTCTAATCCTCCAAACACTTTCAAGTACAAACTCTGAATATCTTAACACTTGTATTTGGCTTGTATGTATCCATATTGGGTTTCGGCTCGCCGCAGCATTACATATGCCACTAGTAAATGAAGTACATCTTTTAAGTTCTTACGGAGAAGCAAAGGGGGTATAGAACAGCATTGATTGCAAAACACGGATTCCTAAGCAGATCGACCAGGGCGGGGAAGTTAACTAAACTAACGTGAAGGAAGAGATAATGCCTTTTTTAGCGACCCGGCAGACGCTTTCGGAGTGCGTACTTACACAGCAGCTTCCCGCTGGAGAGGATCAATGGAGAGTTGGTAAGCAGAAAGTTATCGAGCAGAAGATAATACACTTGATAGAGGCAAGCTACCATTAGCTGAATCCCACCTCCTAGACAACAGACAGCGAGGGAGTTAGCAAACCAAAGATATGACGGGGTCTGTGAAGTGCTACATCTAGAATTTGCTTTAAGTTCTCACCAAAGACAACGGCAGAAGTAAGAGGAAAGACTCTCAAACGGAGCTAAGGAAATGCACTGTTAAACCCGCATTCTGTCTGAGCCGGAGCGCAGCCGAGTGCCCCCGTTACAAAAACTCAGCACTGGCATAACCCCCACCGCTGTCTTAGATTACAATTTGCATACTGAAAGCGAATACGTGTACAGGCGGGTTGCGTCTGCATAGAGAAACCTCTCGCGCCTGCGCACAGCACCTCAAAGGGAAGCTGTGGTGTTCAGCTTGCGTATTTCTTTAGTGCTCCCGTCCTTACCGTCTGCAAATAGGCGGGGAAATCATTACTTTGTTTTTATTACCTCATTTTCTTTCTTATGCGGGAACGAAACCTGGCGGAGCTCTCATGTCTTCGCGCAGTCAATTGTTAGCTGAGGGCTCGGCGCACACTGGTACAGAAAAGGGGCTGCGAACACTAAACAGCTAATTAGCAAAATGTCTTTGAATTTAATCTACAAACTGCTTAATAAGGTGCTATCAGAGAGCTTATCAATGCGCTGTATAGATAGACCTTACTAGGTGTACGTTTGTTTCCGCCTTGGGGCGACTTTCGCCTCCAGAGGGGGGTGCAGGATTCCTCAAGCGGGGAGGCAATTCCTTGCAAACATAGGGCATAACAAAGATCTTCCTGTTTTTTGAGGCTTTTAACGTGGGATTTACATATTAGGGTTAAGGGTTTCCATACGAGAAGAGGCGGTCGCCCCCCACCTACCAGCAAGGGGTGCCTCCTATGCATCCGGTGCTCTTTTGTCGCGCCTACCGTTCCTGATGAGCCACACAGCTCCCTTTTCTGTGGAGCATTTCAGCGTCTATTGCACTTAGCTTTTTATTTTGTGGTTGTTTCCATCGAGTGCTTTTGAGTAGGACGCAGCGGCGCTCGCGAAGGCAGACCTAGCGGGTTCGGCAGTGCACGCAGTAAGCGCTCTTAGAGGGGGCGGCCGGCTGTAGGGAAACCTCCTTGAATGTTCTCATCTTTGGGGTCCCACAGGCAGTTTCGATCTGTTATTGTTCGCTTGTGGTGGGTTGCCACTGTGTAACGCCCCGGCACTGTCGACCCTTCTGCTGCCGCGCCTTTGCTTCGCTTGTGGCCTCCTGTCTTGGTAGGTTTTCAGCTTCCCTGCTGCCTTCGGAGCGTTCCTCTCGGGTCCCACATTCATTCTGCTGTGTCTTGAGCTTTCCAGGTCTTCTGCTTTTCCCATTGGCCTTCGAGGTGGCTCCCGCTGGCAGGGAGAGGGCGCTGCACCGCCGCCCCCACTTGTCCCTTTCTGACTCTCCGCACGTCTTCTGCCTCTACTCTTGACTCCATCCTTGCAGCTTCAAACGCAAGTCAGTCCCCTGTCTTGCACTGCAGCTCGCCCGTGTCTGGCGGCTGTGGCTGTCGCTACGGGCTTCAGCGCGGGATTTACGAGTTGTTTTTTTCTCTAGCTGCGGTCTAGGAGTCCTTTGTGTGCATTATTCATGAGACTACTATGCCGCTGGCTGATCCTGGAACTCCGCTGTAAGCTGACGGCAGTGATTTTCTTCCGTTCTTGATAAGCAGCCCCTTCCTTCTCCCCTTGATAATTTCTTGAACAGCAGGTTCATTGTGCGCGCCAATCATTCTCTTCCTTCTCCTCTTTGGGAGGCATCAACTCCACATTAAGAATCGAATTGTTGTGGGACGTATTCTTTGCTGGCTGGCGTTAGCGGCGCTGCTGCAGCGGACTTGCTGCTGTGGGTTCTTCTGCCTGCCTGTGTATCTACAATGCATGCTGTCACGGAGGGCCATCTGACGCGCCACTCGGTTCCGGCCGCATCCACTCCCTTTCCGTCTCTCCCTTTCCTGACAGACGCATATCTTCCGGGGCCGCAGGCTGCCGCAGCAGCGCATCAGCAGCTTCTGCTGCTGCAGCCGAGCGGCACGCCCGAGCCTGTCGTCTGTGCTCCTGGGTCAGAGCGGCTAAGTAGTGGTGCCACAGGCTCTGCTGAAGGCTGGGGGGCAGAATCCTCTAATGGTCCGGCAGCGCTACAGTTGCTGGGGGCCCCTCGTGATGGTGATGTAGGAGATTTTCTCTCTGGAGTTCAGGACCCGTCCTCGTTTGCAGCTTCGTACTTCGGTTCTTACCTCTGCTCGCCATCGACGGAGAACCCCCAGACACCAACAGCAGCAAACTCCCATTCTTCTCTCTCACCTATTCAGCTAGCTACAAGTCCTGAAACAGGCAGCGGCAGCAGCGGTGTCGGCGCAGCGCCTTCTGGGGGGCTTCCCCTCTACGGCGGACAACCTTTCCCCTTCTCGCTGCCAAGCCCCTTGACTTGTGGCATTGTACAAGAGGGGCCCCCAAGGGCCCCCAACCCAACCTACAGCCTGCCGCAGCAAACAGCTACGCAGGACACACAGGGATTCGCGTCTGACTATGACAGACTAACGAGGGAACTTTGCAAATACTGCGCCAATTTGAGAGATCTAGTGAAGGATAAGTAAGTTGAACACGACATCCTAGTTCTTGTCTCATGCTCCCTAGCAATGCATAGAACCCCCATGCACCTTCCCTTATGAGAAGCACTGGCTCCCTAGAATTGTTATAAGGAGAGTCTGATGCGAGCGTTTTAGGGGATCTCTCTTAGGGGTCTTTCTGTTGGCATAGATGGAAATGTGTTGCTGCTCGTAATTCTTCGCTGCAACGCGAACCAGAAGGGTTTTGACAGGTTCGTTGCTGTCCCGCTACCGCTTTGCGTTCAGTCCGTCTTTCACTGACGAGTTGAGTTCAACGCTGGAGAAAGCCATTCGATCAGCGGACCAAGTGATTCATGTGCAGCGAAAACTTTTGCTTTCTGTGAATCAACAGAAGCACCTGGTAGCTGACAGCAAAGTCATTCATTCGAAGGTGCAGACGCTTCACCGCATTCTGCAAAAAACTGCCCCCCAATACAGCCAGTGGCTCGAGGAGCACGCCGTCCTTAAAGAGCACATTCAACAGCTCGAGCAGCAGCACGGGGGTTTTGTGGCATCAGGGGATCTGGCGGGGAACGAAGACGTCCCCGACGCCTCACGCAACAGCGCCGTGAGCCGCCGTCGCAGCAGCAGCGGCAGCTGCTGCAGCAACAACAGCAAACGGCGCAAGAGCATTCGACAATACAAACGGCAGCAACACGCTCTGCCTCCAGAGTCCTCAGAGGGATTACCGCTCCCCGTCGTTAAGACCGAGCGGACGCCAAGTTGCACTTAAAATAACTGCACTTGTCTTTTGTTGAACTCGGCTTATCTGTGCAGCCGAGAGGGGGAAATATGTGGCCCCCGGCCTTTGACCGTTAAGACGCCGAGTCTGAAGCATTTAGGCTGCACCTTTGGTGCAAGAGGGACAACAAGTGCACACCTGGAAGGGCATCGGGGTGCTGGGATGATGAAGCAGTTTGCGCTATTACTATTTTGTTGTCTCCGAGCTTTGTTGGTGGTGTTGGTCGGGCCCCTCGCACGTTACTTCTTCCACCTTCAACGCGGAGCAGCAGGAGGCAACTTATGCGGGAATTCATGGGCATTTAAGCAGCAAGCGGCCTGTGCGCAGGGCTGCTTTGACTCTTTACAATACGCGTTCAATCTCCTACTCAGGAGAGTTATTCAGCGGGTACGCCGGTGGGACGCCTGGGGTTGTTCAGGGATTCCTGAGGTTCGCGTGGTTGCAGTAGCCCCGGCATATATCAATAGGGATGCACATATCGTAGCACGAACACAGGGTATCCATAATGTCTCACTGGAGAATACAAGAATGCAGTGGGAACTCCTGGTTAGCTTTTGTTTCGCACTTCGCACGCGTTCTTCACTTTACTTTCACGAAGAAGGATCCATCGAGGGAATTTGCTTGCTTTAGCAGGCAGGGGTCTCTTCTGCTTGGGGCGCACATGTTGCGCCTGTGGCGCAGATAAGCAAACACAGGACGCACGGCGCTTTGCTTAGCTTGATACCTCTGCCGCGAGATGCAGTTTGCCGTGCAACGCCCTGTACAGCAGCGTTCATTCCACACTTACTCCATCTCATAGATTCGTGGGCAGTCTCGCCGCTGTGCCGCAGAGCTGTAGCCGCCCACGCCGAGCAAATGCTGGAGGCTGGGAGGCTTAGGAGGGTATCAGAAACCTAAGTTGTTTCAATGAGCCCACACACATCTATAGCTCTTTGGAGCATCTTCTTTGTTGCAATTAATATTGGTTTACTGTGATTGTCCTGGCCTTGAGCAAGCAAGCATGGCGCCCACTGCACTGATACCGCTATTGCGTAGACAGTTTTTAGTCTTCAGTAACCAAGAACACAGCACCACCAGAAACAACTCATCGAGGGGAGTACGCAAGGGAACGCGAAAGCCCAAGCAGAAAGACTAGGGATTCGGGTCGCAGTGTTTTGTGGTGTGGTGGGGATCGCATTCATTGTTTTGGACTGAAGAAAACCGCAAATCTGCACCCGTGCATTCGCGCAAGCAAGTATGTATTCTTGCGAAACCTGTAATATTCAAAAGCGTCTGGTGAGGCGCTTTTTAACATCCAGGATGGGCAAGGCATTGCGTTGGGGCGCCGCTCGCACCCTGGAGAATAGAAAGTGAAGCTATTTGCAAGTGCAAGTGATTTTGCTTGCCCTGCACTAGCACTTGGGTCAGGTGAGGATGGGTAGAGACTAAATGCGAACTTCTCCGCGAAAATAAGCGCACTAATGCTTTTCTTCACCAGAGATGCTAGTAAAAGGCAGCAAGAGCAAACGGCGAATGGAACTTCCCGTGGAAAGCACTAAAAAGAGCAGCTTTGATGCTGTTGCGCGTGAGTCTAACTGCAAGCAGGAGGCGCACTTGGCAGTGCAGTCTCCAAGCACAACTTGCAATGCATAGGACTGTTAAACAGAAGAGTCCATCCATCGAATGTAAGTCCCTCTGTTTTTCAAGATAGAAGCCGCTGCAATAACATGCGTGATTACCGTAGAAAGCCTTGCAAACTGCTTGGTTCGGGCACGCACTTTATCTCGTCGAACATGCTCAGGGTTCAACAACAAAAATGCGCATACCGTGTTCGTTTGATCGTTGCGTTTGCTCCGCTATATTGTCACGATGGATATTTTGCCGTTCCCACATTCCATAGTGCCTTCATGCTCTGCTCTACCCTGTTCTTTGGAAACTTTTCTTGAACTCCTTGGCTCTTAACAGCAGCAAGAGCTGGCTGTCTGGTGCAAAGAACAGGGAACTGTGCCAGGAAAAAGGGTGACAGGGGTCTAAAGTGCCTCCTTAGCTTAGTCGGTAGAGCATCCGCTTAGTAAGCGGAAGGTCGCCGGTTCGATTCC